AGTAAAACACCAATAATTACAATAGAATTCATGGCTCTTCCACTACACTTTGTGTTCTTAAGTTTTCTCTTATATAGTAGATGAACTGCACATTAAGTGGCATATTTAATCAATTTCTCTGGAAAAACCCACCTGCATTTCCTTCATCAGCTTTCATTTTACAGCATTTGTATTTAGACTTTTAATCCTAAACACAAATAATCTCTGCAAGTGGTAAAGGATGCTAGGATATCAGAGAGCAAGATGAATGTCCTTATTCTCTTTTCTTTTTTCCTAATGAAACTCCTTGTTTAGGAGCAAAACAGAAATTTTGATCACCCAACTTTTATATTAACACTAATCACTGGTGATTTAAGCCTAGAAGTCTGAGGATATACTGATGAGACACTAAAAGACAGCGTAAATCCGTTTGTGTCTGTCTTCCATATATTGCCACTGGCAGGGTTGATGTGGAGTACTACTATTTGGGATGCTAATGCTTCCCATTCGCCATAACTGCATCTTCCACTTCTTGAAAGGTAAAAATGATGGAACATAGCACAGAAGTGGCTGCATTTTGACTGTAGAAAGCAAGAGCCTCTCTTTACTTCCAAGTTCAAATTTAAGTTTTAAATAGCAATGTCTTCAGTAGGATCTGCCCATGTCTGGGAAAATCTGGCTATTTTGTTTGCCTAATTCCGCTTAGGTTCTTTTTACAGTTGTGTGTCCTAATTCTGTGAAGTGTGCGCTGTACAAGTAGGTTTATTCAGAATGGTTGTGCTAGGAAGTTGTGGTTGTATTTTCTAGCTCGTAAGAAATTTCTCTTTAGAAACCTATCTGTTGTAGAGGCAAGCAGTGGTCATGACACTCTTCAGAAGACCTCCCAGAAGCAGTATTCCAGCTGTAATGAACAGAAACAGTTGCTTTAGATATGACTAGAAGCAATAATACGATGGAAGAAGCTGGAAAGAAATGAACGCAGAACTCGCAGGATTAATAAGTCATCATGTTTGTGTGGGGGGTATATATACATGCATGCCCTTGGCTCAGTGAAAGGGCTTCAAAATGTCTGGCACTATCTTTCTGGAAGGGTTTGCTTCTTCTGCAGTGCTGGAAAGGTGGTTTGAATCCCCATGTGCTCTTGCACTGACATCATATCCATTAGCATGGAGGTGTGGCACTACTGCAAGTGTGAAAACCTGGAGCTGTGGCAAGCCATGTTCTGGTTTTGACCCTTTTAATGTTGGCCCATCCTTTAAATAAAGGATAATAGAGCAGTGTGTTCCCTCTTAATGTAATCCCATTAGAGCTGTCCAAGGCAGTGAGTTGTACCATGTCAGCTGCTAGAGTTGGGTCCCTTCTCCTTAGAGATTTACAGCAACACTTGGATGTATCAAATATTATTGCCATGAATGTGACACATTGTGCTCCTGAAGATAAAAATGGAGTCATCCCCACTTGTTCAAAGTGCACTTATCTTTCTTTGCATTTATTCTCCCAGTCAGGGTACAGTAACTGCTGCAAAATTTCCAGTGTGTATATCAAGTTACAGATTAGTGCAGGCTCCCGTGGTTCTTGGAACAGCATGGGGCTGTTTTTGTTTACCGATGACATTTATCCTCTCATTTCCTTTTGGAAGCATGACAGCTTCTTGCTGTCTGATGGGGAATGTACTTACAGGACCTTCTTTTCGTGCCATGTCTGATGATAAACACTCCACTGCATAGTATCCGTGTCTGCTTGCTATGAAGCCGCTATTCCTGCTTTCAGCAGTCAGTCTGGCAGGAACTTGGCTGGGCAGGAAAGAAAAGGGTTTCTAAGTGCAATTATCTTCTCTTGCAGGAGGAGACCGAGAGCGGATGACAGCTAATCATGAAACGTACCTTCTTATGGCAAGCACACAGAATGACATGGAGGATTGGGTGAAATCCATTCGCAGGGTTATATGGGCACCATTTGGAGGAGGTGAGTCAGTAAGGGAACATGCAAGGCTCCCAGATACATAAAGACACATAAGGGTTCTTGCCGTCTTTCTATTACGGCCAGAATTTTGAGGTGAAGGAGAAGGGTCTAGGTCTTCCAGAAAAAGTGGAGTAAATCCTGTGTTTTCACTTGCAGTGCAGGTATCAGGCATGTTCCTGTGCAGAGGGCTCAATTAAAATGCTTTAAACTGTCTGAAACCACTTCCCTTGATTAGGATATCACATGATAGTGCATTACCAAGGCAAGGGGGGATTTTCACAAAAGGTTGGTCTTCTATGGGATCAGCTTTCCCACAGGGAGAGGTGGGATATTTCCTTTGGTCACTAGCTAAAATACTGTCTGTGGGCTTCATCAGTGCCTGTTACAAGAAGCTGTCAGTGCTTCTCTTGCAAGGGACAGCTAAGACCAGCATTAAATAAAGCTATGCACTCCAGTATAAACTTCAGATTCTTTTTCCTGTGATTGGCATACTTAATAATTTCAGTAGTACTGGACCAAAATTTGTGTCAGATGTGTAGCTGTCTTTTTAAAAAGCCCTCTTAAATTGAATGGGCTGAAAATTATTATCGACATTATTATTATGGTGATAATGCCTGTATTATTATAATGTGAGTATGATTGATATGTTTGCACAAAATGTTAATACATTAATGTGTCTGTTCCTAGAGCTCTAAAATATCTAAGTTTGAGGACAGAAATGTTTTTCCACTGTGAAAGAGCACCCATTTTGCATCAGACGGTTTGGTCTTGTCTGCAGGTTGCTGGAAAAGTAAGTCAGGCAGGGTTGTCTGTGCTGTTTCATGATTAAGAAGTGCAGTTATCACTGAAAACTCTGATTGCTTACTGCAAATGTTATTTTTCTCAACTGAGGTAGACCACAGCAGAGAGGATTGGTGGGACTGAAGGAAACTAGCATTCTAAACTAAACTTTTATTGTAAGCCACCCATCTTCCCTTGTGCTTCATTCAGGTCACACAGTTCTTAGGTGAAGGCTTTGGCCTCACTGGGTGGCTTGTGCTGAGGGAACTGAATAGCTAGGGCTCGCCTGACACCTCTTCAAACATGTCTTCTCTTTGGCTCCTCCTGGGGAAATGTGCCCTGGAGAGATGGTGTTAAGCAGTCATCTCACTGGGATCTGGCCCTACACCTTAATAAGCTGGCACAGTCCTGGATCTGGGTGTGTAAATCTTGCAGGAGGATGCTTAAAAAAATAACCAAGCAAAACCCAAAAACCACAAAGTGAAAGGTTTCTCTTAAAAAGTGGAAGCTTCTACAGGAAGTTGGTTTGGGAGAGGGCAGGTAGAGTCTTCTACTATTAGGCTGGGTAAGGAATATGCTTGTTTACATAGCCCTAAAATCACTCATCCCCAACCGTCTCTTTGTAAAGCAGGCTTCATGATGAGCTCCTCAATGTTCTCTTACTTCCATCTAGTAGCAACATAATCTATTGAAGCAACAATAAATTTTGGGGCATAATAGAACTGGAGTTTTCAGGGTGTATCTTTGATTTTTGCACTTGGCTTTTAGCACCACAGTATCTTCCTATGGCAAATAATGAGGAAAGGCAGGCTTTCGGTTCTGCAGTTGAGAAGTGTTTACAGGCAGGGAGCTGAGATTAGGTGAAACTCTGTTTCTAGCCCACAGCTACAAATAGAAACCAAATCTCCCAAGCCCTGACCCTATGCTTTCTTCACCAGCCTCTCATTTGCTTTTATGGGGCAAGAGCTATTTCTGGTTACAGCTGGGAATCCTTCCAGCCACCATGAAAATTCTCAGGACACCACCATTGTTGGAGCAGTGTTTAATTTCCGTTACTGAGAGAAGCACCTCACTGAAGATTTTGCCTGCTGATTTGCATAAAACAAGAGATGGGTGCAATTCTTGAATTACTGTTTAAATTCATTGCAGTTAAAACACTTGTAAGCATGAGGGTTTTGTTTTTGTTTTTTTTTTGTTCTTCCTATTGGATTTCTTGAACAAATACACTGACTTATTTGTATTGGTAAACAAATAGTTAACTTCTTGGAAAACATGAGAATAGATAGAACATGATTTTAGGTTTAGTGTTCACTGAGAAGGTTTGACTGTGATAACAAGACAAAAGCAGTATCATGGGATGTGTCACCATTAAGAACTGTATTTCTAGTATGTCCCCTATTTTATTAACTGTTACTTAACTTGATATTCTGAGTTATCTTAACCAATCTTAATAAGCCCTATTAAGTGTTCTGTAATTATGTGTCACTGAACACACTTGTACTTCTGTTATGCCGTGCTACATGGATGTTGCTACAGCTGCTGTGACAGTCTGGCCCTTCTAAAGAAGGGCACTTCTGGCTTAAGTTGTCCAAGAGTCTGACTTCACAAGCTGTAGCCCCTGAAGTTAAAAATCTTTTTACCTATTACATTGGCTATAAACAAGATGTAGAGAAGTTGTAGTCACATGGTGATGATCAGTCAGTGACAAGTACAAATTATTTTGAACAGCTGATTATAGTCAAAACACACGTTTCATATCGGCTTCCTACATTACAGTACTAGATGCTGAAACGCAGTAGCCTGGTGTCATACAAGTCAAGAGCCACTTTGAGTAACATTTGAATTTTCTGATTCTTGTAAGCATTGTAAGCAAGCTCTCTGTGTGTGTGTGCACATGCAGTGGGTATGCCTGAGCCTTGGTGAGCCACTGGTACTTGGAGTTTGTCTGGCAGTGGGAAAGGACTCCTGGTACCAGACCCAGGAGCACTGTAAATGATTAACCGTATCGCTAAACTGTTGTTTGTTAACCTGTGCTAGAAAGAGAACACAGGAGGGGGGCAGGTGGGAATCTGCTAAGGGGATCAGAAACAGGTTGGGGTTTTGCACCAAAAGAATAAGGTGAGTGTGGAAAAGATTCTGGATGGAAACAGAAATGTAAATGAGCCAGGGCATGCAGTGCCTGTTTGCAGATGAAATTCCCTTCCTGATTAGATTAAAAAGGCAATTTTTTTACAGGAGGGAAGGCCTGAGCTTGAATGGCAGAGCTTGCAGCTAAGGGGGAGGGAGGAGAAGGAGCATGAGCACTGTAGCAGGGTAGTAGTGTAAGGTCTGGCACCTCCCGCAGGAGCCGGGCACAGCCTGCTCGCTTCTCAAGCTGCCGCACACGGCAGCCGCCTGAAGTCACCTCCAGGTCTCCCGGAGGAGCAGGCAAACCTGCGCTGCGGCGGATTCTCGTTTCCCTGCACCTGCGGCAGGCGCGGGGCTGGCGCAGGCGGCAGCGGCCCCGGCTGCCATCGCCAGGCGTGGGACCGGGAGGGAGCGCGGCAGCAGAGCATCCCCCCGGGAGGCACGTATTCCTCAGCAGCTCCCCAGCATCCTGCCGGCAGAGATGCACTGCTGCCGCATCTGACGCACCTCTCCCGTGAGAGCTTCTGGTAGTTCGAAGGCAATAAAAAAGCGAGAGCCCATGCGAACATCATACAGGGAGCTGGGTATATAAAAGGCCATTTGAATCTGTTACGGACAGAAAGTCTTTTGGGCGGAGGGACTGTTGGTTTTGCTTCTCAATTGCAGTGATAAAGGGAGCCAGCAAGGAGTATTGTATCCCTGAGGATTCTTCAGTGGCCTTGGTATTGTTCTCTTTCCCCTTGCACACTGCAAAGCACTGACCTTTTCTTGTGGAACTGGAGTCTCTGCCACTCAACCCCCTGCTCCAGCTGGAAGGAAGAGGTCTTTCTCCCCCTCCATCTGTGCAGGCACTTCTGTTTGAATGGAAGATACATCTTTTTGCTGAAACTCTTTTGTTGTGCCATTGCATAATAGACAGTTGTCTTGCCGCAGGAAATAAAAGAAATGAAAGGAAATAGAGAGACGGAAGGAAATTGTTCCCCAAAGCAAAATTGAAGAAGGGAAGAGAACATTAAAATCACTTCAAGCTCTACCCAAGATCTAGAAGACCACAAATCTCCTAGCTCCAGAGGAAAATACACTACTGTAAAAACTCCTCAGCAGTCAGTAACGATGAGCAGCCGTGGTGTTTTGTCTGGATGCAGCTGGTAAAAGAAAGCTTTGGAGGGACGTGTGGGCTCTGGCCTGTATGATGCCTGAAGACAGAAATGCTGGAGTCCGCAGCCCAGGTGCCTTAGCAGCAGCTCCTTTTATTCCTAAAACTACTTATAGGAGAATTAAGCGATGTTTTAGTTTCCGTAAAGGTAGGTTCATTCTGTCGCTGTGTTCTGCTTGCTAGTGAAGCCATGGTTTCTGAGGAGTTGAGGGGACTGTGTGTGCAGGGGCAGATGAGAGTACTGAAACAAAAGGCATTAAACAATGCAGATGCCAACATTCCACGAATGATTTATTTACTTCTTTGTTCATTTGTTTGTAGCTAGCCAGCTGATATGTCTCCTCTACATAATAACCCATGAATGGGATGCCTGAATGAGGTGGCTTGAGACAAGATTATCACAGAGCCTCTGAGCAAAAATCAGTGAGAGCAGTGGGGGAATCAGACCTGTGGTTTGGCAGAACATCAGGGAGAAGAGTTTGGGCTTGCATTTTGTCTGTGTGGGAGGAGGGGGAGAAGAGAGGGAGTGAAGCAACATGAAGCAACATGATAAATGCAGCATCTGTGCTGAAGACCAAGTCCTTGAATTCAGAGATTTCTGCTGAAGTGTAGCCCTACAGTGCACTGTCCTGTTGCAAATGCTGCATTGCCACTTCATTCTGCTTCCCTGAAGCTTGAATTTGCCTTTCCACCTGCTGCATATGGATATTTAAAGCTAGTTTTCTTCTGCATTGCACATGCTCCTGTTGAAGTAGAGCATGGCAGTACTGGTGGGAGAAGGGCAAAGATGGTGCTAGCTTTCAAAATGTGTCAGCTGGAAACACATGTCTAAGAGAGATAGATGACAAGTGATGATAAGCTGCCACTGTGCTTGGGATTGGTGGGGAGAAATTATCTCTATGATGAGGACAAAAATTTGTGTGATGGAAGAAGGTAATATCGGTGCTGCCTTAAAAACTATGCTGGACAGAGAAATCCAAGTTTAAAGGGCTAAATTTTCATGTTACTCTGAAGGGTGAGAAATGCTCTTACACAGTTCTTTTGAAATACAATCATCTTTATCTCCTCCTCTTCCCTAAAGTGTTCTTCCATACTGCCATTTGTCCTTTTGCAAGACCATGCAGCTCTTTGCTCACAAGACTCAGTAGTGCTGTGCTGGCGTCATTGCTTTTTGGGTTGTCTGTGCAGGCAGTCAGGGGCAATGCCTTGAAATGAGAATCACAGTGAGGGACTTGCTGCAGAACTGCAGCAGAGATCAGCTATTGCCTGTAGCTGAGAGCCTTGAAAGCCTTTTCCCTGCTGTATCCCTCCCTTCCACCCTGAGGCTGGCATTTCCCTTGGTTGCTGGAGTTCAGTCCATCTGGAGACTGGCCAGGAGGATGTGGATGTGTCTGTTTGAAGTATCCTAGTGCATTTCAAGGTGTCGGTATGAATTAGAGCTGTCTGTACCCTGTTTATACACTTAACTCTTTGGGAAATATTTGGAAGTTGAATAAAGGATTACCTGATAATTTTACAGACAGCTGCTTTTGTGCCTGACTGCAGCCTTAGCTCCAGGAAGAGCTGCAGCTGTTGATTCTGTCCCCGTATGTACTGACACATAAACTCTTCATGTGAAAAAGCCCAAGCGAAGCTGCAATGCTTGAGGCAGAGGGCAGAGTGATGGAGGCCATGCTGCTAACTTGCTTTACCCCACATAGTTTGTTCCAGTTGCTTTCTCATACAGGATTGCTGTCAAGAGCATAGTCACAAGGCCCCTAAATCAGAGCTGCAGAATTCTGGTTGTGCGTGTTATACTAGGTCCGTGTCCCATTGAAGACAACAGAAATTTGAACATTTATTGGACTTTCAGTCAAGCTTTTACTATGGTTGTAAAGACAAATAAAGCTAACTACAATCGTCTTATTAATTGGATGAATTCTTACTTGTAGATTGTCTACCTAAGTATAAAAACCCCAAAACTAACATTCTGCAAACCTAGCTCATATTTGCATAAGGCAAATCAGTTAGTTCTCAGCTGTGCAATATGATGCAGAAAATAAAATTAGCAGGGAAAACCACTGTCTTTGGAAGAACTACAAGGCAATCACGACACTGTGTGTTTAGGCAGAGATACATCATTATCTTCACCAGTAATACAAGGTGTAGAACCCTGCCTGGAAATCCAGATCAAAACTGCATTGTGATAAGCATCAAAAAATTAAATGTCAGACCTGTTTGTAGGTCATGTCATACAAGTCAGTGCTCAGTGGCAGCATCTGAACAGAGACAGACCCAGGCATCTTTAAAATCCAATTTGGAGAAGATGCCTTCTGTTGAAATACCACCAGAGTTACCTCCTGAGAGCATAAGCAGGAAAAGCAGTAGCTGAGGGTAACTTTTCTGGTGTGCAGTGGTGAGAACATTGAACAGCATGTTGAATTTGGGTGAGCAGAGTTTTGGTGGTGGAGGTAGCATTGGTCACAGCCAAAGAAATGGTGCAGGCCCTGATGTGATTGCACATGGTAAGTTCCCAGTGATGTTTTTTAAAATTGCCTCTCTTCCTTTTCAGCCTGTAGCTAGTTCTGCTCTTACTTCAGATTTGTCTTTTCTAGGCAGTAACCTCCAGTGTTAGGAGGTCAGGAGTTTATCATATCTCCTGCTGGCATCATATTGACTGTGGGGTAGGAGAAGGCTTGAAGGAAAGAGAATGAGTCAGGGAACAAAATTCTGCCTCCGCTAATTTTGGTGGGATTTTTCCTCTCATGGATGTCACAAAATCCTGTAAAGAAGAAGAATATACTCCCTGCCTTTGATCCCTCAGAAGAGAGAGCACTTAGTGCTGGGGAACACTGGAGAAAACTGAGAAGAAATAATAATTAAACCCCCTATATTAAGAATTCTGTGGCCATGACAGCCACTTCTCTGTGTTATTTCAGGATCTTTGTTCTCAGCCCTGCTGTTGAAAGCCATTCACCTGATCTGTTATTTTCACTGTCAATGAATTACTGATGTAGAATTGAGAGAGAATAGAAATTCCCATTTGGATCCTAAGCTGAGATCAGTTCCTTTCACCTTAACTGACCCTTTCTGATCAGTATAGCCTATAACTCAGAACTTCTTTTGGAAGGGCTGCACATGGAGAGAATACATGTACAGGCGTGGGCCCTGTGTTGAAAGCATCAGCGGTCTGTGCTTTATGCTCTCTGAAAATCATGCTGTCATCTGAATTGCTGTGAGGTGGCTTGAGAAAGCACAAACCTGGCTCAGTGAATGTGTGTGCTGTGGTAGAGCTACAGCATTTTCTAGCATTTTCAAGCTGTTCATTATAGAGCAAGGAGACAACTGCCTAAATCCTTCTCCTTTATTCTTAATCACAAGTGTGGAGTCAATAGACTTGCAGTGTGACCCCCGCCTGTGCTCAGCAGCTGAGGAAATCATTGACTAATAGCATTCTTAGATTTTAAAAACACACTCTAACTGTGAACACTGAAATTACCACAAGGTTTTCTCAACTCTTGAGTAGACAAATGCAGAATTTGGGTATAGCACTGTAGTGTCTTTCATAAGCTTTATAGGTATCTGTTAGGCTTGGAAACCTAGTTTCTCAAAATGTTTACAAAACTTCTGCCACAGGAATGTTCTAGTTAATGAATAATCGCTCGGCATGCCCTTTACTAGCATGTGATTTTCCTCTTTGATGTTATGCGTGATCTTGGCTTAATTGGATATAGCTTTAAAGACCTACAAGGGCCTCTCTGAAAAAAAAGCAGTTCTGCTGATTAAATCTAATGACCGGTCAGAGCTGGAATTCTGTACATTATCCTGCTGCCAGCTTTTAGGAAGCCAAGCTGCTGCCATCCTGAATCTCAAGGTTTCCTGTTGGTTTTGTTTGTTTGTTTCCCCTCTGGCACCTTATCCCAAGGATAAACCAAACCACAGGTCAGCACTTGTCATCTCTGCGTTTCTGGATTTTGGAGATGCTGAGATTTAGGAGAACTTGGGTTTGGATTATAACATGAGTTATGAGGGCTCTCTTTTATTTCATTCACAGAGCTGTTATTGTTTAGTTACTGTAGTGTAAATTTACTTGTGAAATTACCTCTGGTTTTGGTTATACTGTAGTCTCCATAACTTGGACTGTCTTTGCTTCTGTGTAAAGGAGATGCTAACAGTGAGCAGGTACAGCTAATAGTGTTCACTCTTGTCTGCCCCTGCCAATTGCTGAAGTAGCTGTATGTTTGCAACCACAGTTCTTACAGCATTGCCTTTGTTTTGTAACAGCCAACGTCTTACTCTTTGTAACCTATTAATCTGAAGTAACTCTGTAGTTGAAACATAAGAGGGGGTAAAGGTATTAGAAAGGGACAGTGGGAGAAGGTGAACCTTGCAGGGCAGTGATCATGGCTTTTATTCCAAAACAGTAAAAAGCCCAACAGACACCAGAAAGATAAGGTAAAAGTTATGACAACATGGTGTGGAAGTAAAGTTGTCATGTTTCCACCACTTCTGCCCCTGGCACCAGAGTATTTTTTCCATGAGGCATCAGCAAGTCTGTAACTTCAAGCCAGTATTTATGCAGGCTTATCATGACTGCTTTCCTTCCAGGGCCAAGTGCTGCCTGGTGCGGTGTTATGCACATGCTAGCTGGAGGAAATGCTTCCTTTGGAGAAGTTCAGCATAGACTTTAAAACCAAACCAAGCCTGCCTGAGGTGAATTCCAATGCCAAACAAATGGAGGATGCAGAGTGTAGTGAATGGTGACTTCAGAAGCACCACACAATTATGTGGTGATTTTCCATAAGATTAAGTTTTAACTCCAGGTTACTACGTGGCTGTCAACATTTCTACACTAGCTATGAGCTTCGCAAAGCTGAGTGTGGTATGGTATTATCACCATTTATCTAGATGGGGAGCCAAGTCCCTGACGCTTTATCTGGTATGTGAGGATGAGGGCTCATACATGTACCCTTACAGCCATGAAGTATATATGGAACCAGACTTGATGCAGCTGTGTTCTGAAGCTTGTGTAGGATCTGAATCCAACCTGTTAAATCTGAGACAAGTGTTGTAGTTGTTCTGTCTCTCCTTTAGGCATTGCTAGCTTTGTGTATTTTAAGTGTTTCAATAGAAGTCCCTGAATTTACAATGCACTTTATTGCAGTCAGTAGTAGAAATAGTGCAGTGTTTACACTTACGGGACCAGATCTGGTAAATTATAGGCTCCAATTTGGATTACTTGTTTTTTTTTCCTTTGACACTCTCCATCATACCAAGTTTGATTTTTCCTCAGATATAGGTTTGGGGGTTTAAGATTTTCTTCATTCAGTACTTGTGATTTGCTGGTACAACACAGAACCAAGTTTGTCAGATCTGTTAATATATGTCAGCTTTTATGTGTGATATCACTTGTTACTTTCTACTTGTCTTAAAAAATACTGTTTGACGCTAGTTACAGCCATCTTAATGCTTCATGATTGCATTAACAATTTATGATTGCCACATGTTTTCAATACATTTTGTGTTTATGTAAATACAAGAACAGGTTTTGCTCCCTACCTGTACAAAACCCTCTTATTCTGATTTTATTTGTTATCTGCTAGATACGATAATAAAATTAAAGGGGGAGTGGCGGAAGGAGGCAGGGAAGGCAGCATACCAAAAAATGCATTACTATGAAGTGGTTTGTTTTGACTGCAGTGTCATTACTAATAGGAGTTTCAGAGCAGTCTGGTAGGTTTGAGAACTTAGTCTTTCCTCTGTGAGTGTAAGCTCCAGTATGCACATGAATGATTAAAGAATGTTAGCATAGACAGAAGAAAGTATAGCCAGTAGGACAAAGCTAACTTATACTAATTGTACTGCCAGTGGGCATGAGTTGTACTTGTACATCATATAAGTGGAATATCCTATCTTATACTGATTAATTTTGTTTGGAAAGAGGCAAAACCTCTTGTGTTTAAAACCAAGAGATCTCATGGGCTGTTGAAGGGAAGCTCAGACTGTATGTTCGTAAGACAAATTGGAGGAGGATGGCCAAGTCCTATAGCTAAAAAGGAATAACCCCAGGGAAACAGCTCTGCAGAAGGAACCTGGGTACCCTGTGAGACAGTAAAGTGGATGTGAGCCAGCAGCAGACCTAGCAGCAAGGAAGGTTTGAAAGCAGTCTGGAGCAGAGCCAGCAGAGAGAGGGAAGTGATTAATCCCCTCTGCTCAGCATTTTTAGATCATATTCCAAATATTGTATACATTAAAAAAAAGGGTGTATGTGTGGGGGAGTTGGGAGATCAATCTGAGGAAGCTGAATAAAGAAGTAAGGGTCACCAAGATGGTTACGCCTTTTGAGGAGAGGCAGAGGAAATGGGGCTTGTTTGGCCAGAAGGGAGTGAACTGAACAGCAGCCTTCTTGCATAAGGACTTTGAAAATCCTTAAACTCCCATAATCACACAGATTCCTTAACTGACTTTCAGTGGGCCTTCCTCCTGAGTCTAGCAAATGGAGTGACTTGAGGATTTCCCTCATGTTGACCAGCAACAATCCTTAACTCATACATTTAATACTCCTGCCATCCCCATAGGCAGTTTAGGGGGGTTAGGATTTTTTAATTCTTAATTAAAAGAGTTAAGAAAACTTACTTAAACTTCTCTGCCAGCATGAAGAGGCTGAACTTTATGGACATCAACTATTCTACATCAGTCAGTATTATTCTAAGCTTGACTTGGTCTGAAATCTCACAAATTCTTTCTTTACTTGCTAACTTTTGGGCTTTGTACAACATGAAAAAAAGTGAGCCAATAAAGAGTGACTGTGGAATGTCCATGTTCCTTACCTAGTCCTGGTTTTGGCATCTGATAGTGTGGGTACCATAGAAATCATAAAATATGCTGCTCTGCATCTCAGAATACTTTCTGGGTATCTTAACTGGACATCAGTTTCTGTCTCCAGTTATTTCCTGTGCTACAGTAAAAATAATTGCACTGAAATACAAACCCCAAACCTTCAGTATGGTGACTAGCAGCTTACTGCCTGCTTGCCATAACATCCTGGAACTTTGCAAGTTGCAAGGCAACTTTGCCCTGAGGTGTGAGTTACCTTGTTGGAGGAAAAATGTGGACATTAAAGGTTATACTGAAGGGTGCTTCAATCTGAATGCTACCTTAGCTTGTGATTACTTGTTCATGTAATTGTAATTTATTAGTGAATAATTTTTTGGGGCCAAAAGCAAAAGCTGGCAAGCACAACTTTGGGCTTTATTTAGAAAAAGCAAACCAAAACAACTCTGTTCTCGTTGCTGGATCTTTTTAAACCAGTGTGTGCTCAGTGAAGGGCGCAATTTGACATACTGCCTTACCCTTCACACACTTTATAGTGTGCATAATTGGAAAAGGAGCCTTCCAAGCATAGGTAGTTATTTGGTCTTTAGTTTCTGATCATGGCTGTCTTAGAACTATTCATTGTCTTGCTATTATCTAGAAATTGAATTGCCTCACTTCAGCCGCAATGTTATTCAACAAATGGTGGTCTCAAGTGAGAGCTTCCCTCACAGGTGGCATGCCTGAACATTATTGTGATGCTGTCTATGATGGCTGGCTCTGCAGTTTGAAAGGGAGAGGCAAAATAAGTTATGACAAGTATTTGTCTTTCCAGTGGTAGCAATGATACCCTCAGAAGTTGAAGTTAATTCTGTCAAGAAAAAAAAAATCATCCATGTTCTTTTGAGGTTAAATGCAAATGCATCTTCCCTGCAGTTCCTCTGATATATTTCAACCTTCATGTCAGTATCTTACTTCATGCATAAAATTTATTGTTGCTAAAGCCGACAGAGATAATGCAATTGGTAACACGTTACAGCAATGTAATCTTTATGTGAGAAACCCAAGTAAGTTAGTTTAGTAAGAACAAAATCCTGAGTTATATTTATAAATCTTTTGCTCTCCATGTGTAAAGGTAATGTTTGTATGCCATTGAAACTGGTACAGGAACTAGGGTTCTTTTAATAGGCATGAACCAAAGAAAATGGAGATACCACTTGATTCAGAATGTTTGTGATGGAAAATCCTGCTTGTATTATTTCTGGGTTTTGTGCTTATGATCTGAAAAGTCGTTTACAGTATTATATTTTAAATAATTTCAAGCATTGCTGTAAAATATGTCAGCATTGTATTTCCATGAGAATATAAAGGCAAAATCTAGCATTTTGTTCTTAAGAAAGGAGAATTATACATGCATTTAAATGACCGGTAAATTGTATGGGTTGTAATAGAAAACATTGGCTCCTCAAATGTTTTTTTTATGGATCTCAACCAAGTCACAGCTCTCTTTTTCATGCAGGTATTTTTGGCCAGAAGCTGGAAGATACTGTCCGATACGAAAAGCGCTATGGGAACCGCCTGGCTCCGATGTTGGTGGAACAGTGTGTGGATTTTATTCGACAACGGGGGCTGAAGGAAGAAGGCCTTTTTCGACTGCCTGGGCAGGCTAATCTTGTCAAGGAGTTACAAGATGCATTTGACTGTGGAGAGAAGCCTTCTTTTGACAGGTAAAATCCTCCATCTCTCCCAACTCCCTGAAGCCTTGACAGGACACAATCTGTTCTACTGACTGACCCACAGGGCTGTAAAACACGTGGCAGCAACAGACAGAATGACATGGTCTTGCAGGTTTTTCTATATGTTTCCTATTATGGCACTAAAACGTCTTCTTTTATTTCTGGCTTTGATGTCCGATTTCAAAGCGATTTCTGGAGAATTTCCATTTGTGAAAAGCTGTTTAGGAAAAGTATTGCTAATGGTTTGGCTCAATCAAAAATATCTGGATTGCCTTGATCTTGGTATCGTTTGAAACACAGTGGTGATGCTGGCATTTAGTCAGTTCCACAAAAGAAGAATTGCTCTTATCACCAAGTTCAATATGTTCTGTTACCTATAAAACTGACTGGAAGGGAAGTCTACTTTTATGTATTCCTTTACAATTTTGGGCCTTTGGTCTTTAAAATAAAAGACCATAATAACAAACCTACGTGGTTTTGAGGGTCCAGGTCCAATTTGTATTCCAACATTTTTGCAAATTTTGCAAGAATTAATGAGGATTTTCTGGGTCAAGGAAGAACCCAGTCCTCTCTACACAGCTGTAGCTTTAGCTTTAGCCTTCTGTAAGATTAATTTTTGTGCAGTAATTAACATTCAGAGTGTGCAGTTAGAGAAAGAGAACCAGTGGATTATGAATGCCACATAGACTTTTTAACTTGGATTGGAGTTAATATGGTGGTAATGAAATTCCAGTTCCCAAGGCCGTTAGACAGTGGTTTTCCTCAGCATGTGCCCTAAGTGACATCTGTAATAAGCCTCCAAATTGGAATCCAGGTACTTCACTCCAATTTGGGTGGGCCTAATGTGGGTTAGGAGAAAGGTTACATTTATTTTGTGGGTCCTTTGACTGGTAGCAATGCAAGAAACAGGAAGGAGAGCATACTTGATCTTTTAGTACAAAAACATGACATGATATGGACCTGATTGCTGGAAATCATTTAGCTTTCTCCATTCCCTATTCCTATGAAGTGAGCAAATTTGTTACACATGGAGGTATGTGTATTATAGGTGCACAGAAAGCAAACATGTGCAATGTTGTATCTCCAACAGTTTCCTCAGTCCTGACCCTCACTTTAAGAAATGTCAAGAGATGCATAACGTTCTGGAAAAGTCAATTGTCTTCCTATGAGGCTTATTAGTTTCTCATTGGAAGGTGAAGGTTAGGATAATTGACCAGAAAATAGCTTTAAGGAGCCAGAGGACTATAAGAAATGACAATGTTAGCTGATAAATATTTGTAGCATACTCCCTGGCTGCTGAAATACTGTGTAACATATTTAAAAATGGTACAGAAGCATCCATTGGGTATGTGCTGTGGTTTAAGCCCTGGGTAAGGAAAATGGATTCTGAAACCAAGACAGTATGTTTTCCTTACTTGGACATTAAGATAGATATTACTGGTCATATCTACTAGCAATACAAGTAGGGAAATGGCAGAAACAGAAGGTTATTTTTTTCCTATGTCTTTGAGCCAAATAATTGTGGAGGAAATGCTTCAGGAAACAAGTAATCCCCAGCTCCAGGAAGATGATGTACTGAACACCCACTGAGAGGTACAGCTTGAAAGGGGTACGCAAGTTCTATCTACTTGGAACATATGAGACCAGGGCTTAGCCACAAAAAAATTTTTTGCAAGGTTATGTGGCAACATCTGTAGCAGGCACTAATGAGCCCAGGAACAGGCATGCTAGCTGAGCTTTAGTAGATGAAAAGGAGAAGATATTTTACATGCTACTGCTGTGAAGAACGCACATAATCTCTACTATAGCAATTAGAAACATCAGCAGGAGTTGCCTATAAATTGCTAGTCCTGTAGTTCTGCTTCTGAAGCTGAAAATTTATAGAACACTGACCTTGTATGTCTGTGTGTCTCATTGTGAAGGGTACTTTTGCTGTTTACTTTCTGACATTTAAGTTTGGAGCAGTTTGGCTTAGGTGTAGCGATGGCCCAGAAGTCAAGCAAACATAAATTCTATCTCTATCTGTCTGCCATTGTTTCCACTGAGCATCTACTTTCTTCTCCAACCTTTTGTTCTTTCGTAAGCTTTTGAGGTGAGATTCGTTTCACAGTGTTTATAATTCCTATGTGATTACCTTTTTTGGGGGTAACTTGCCATTGTCTTGAACAGCAGCGTGGTCTCCAGGTTTGGTGCAACTTATTTGGCAAAGCTGAACTCTTGGAAAGTGGCCACAATATGAAACACTGCTGAAGACTAAAGAAAAAAACATATACATTAGGGGCTCATGCTTGCTTTCTCTCATGAATCTCAAGATCACTGTTTAATCTATAGTTGTATGGTATTATCAATCCAAAGTCCAGTAGTGCAAAATCTACCTAGCTTCTGTTTATTAACTTACATTTTGCCTGTTCTAACACATCAATAAAGATTTTTGCAGTTAGAGCTGAGCTGATGGTTCTGTTGATGGGCATGAAACAATGGAATCCAGGTCAACTTTTCTAGTGGTGCCGGGTCACTGGCGCTGACTGGGAGAAAAGCTAGCTCCTGTCATCTGTGTTGGAACTAATACAAAGAGCTGATGTTTGAGGAGTTTGCCATTTTTCATACTGATGTTTTTTCTGTGTATAAGTGCATGTAAGTCAAACAAAGACTTTAGAACAAATGAAGAGGCTTTGATACATGTGTAGGCTTCTACATATGTTTGTGTGAAAAAAATAGTAATAAATAATCCTTGTTCTTTTATGCTTTCATAGCTAGTTCAGTAAAATGCATGACTTCTTAGCTAGTTCAGTACAATACATGACTTCTAGAATTAAAAGCAAAAACAAAGGTAAGATCATTCAGCCATGATTAGTACTGCTTTGAAATATGATCTCTGACATCATGACCTTATAGCCATTGGGAGATGGAGTCCAGAGGCACAGATCCTCTCTTCTGCAGAGTTCATCTGCTGTCCATGGTAATGTGGAGACACTACCCATATATAGATGACAGAATAGTTTTGGTTGGAAGGGATCTTAAAGATTATCTTAGTTCCAACTGCCCCTGCATTGAGCAGGGGCACCTTCCACGAGACCAGGTTGATCAAAGCCCCATCCAACCTGACCTGGCCTTGAAATTTTATAAAACAGTTCTTCATTCATGGAAGCCGATATTTACTTGAACTGTCACTTCTTTACAATAAGCTGTCACCATGACTAAACAATATAGGCCGCCTCTTGCATTCCTGTCTGCAGCCTTTTGGCAAAGAGGACCACAGAACAAATGCGGTAGAAGTAGTAAACTCATTGAGAAAGTTGGGGCTGTTCAGCCTGGAGAAGAGAAGGCTGCGTGGAGACCTCATAGCAGCCTTCCAGTATCTGAAGGGGGCATATAGGGATGCTGGGGATGGACTCTTCATTAGGGACTGTAGTGATAGGACAAGGGGTAATGGGTTAAAACTTAAACAGGGGAAGTTTAGATTGGATATAAGGAGGAAGTTCTTTCCTGTTAGGGTGGTGAGGCGGTGGAATAGGTTGTCCAGGGAGGTTGTGAATGCTTCATCCCTGGCAGTGTTCAAGGCCAGGTTGGATGAGGCCTTGGGTAATATGGTTTACTGTGAGGTGTCCCTGCCCATGGCAGGGGGGTTGGAGCTTGATGATCTTGAGGTCCTTTCCAACCCTAACTATCTATGATTCTATAAGTAGTAAGCCAGCTTTGCTTTAAGGAAAATGCAGCCATGTTTTGGAACATGAAACGTGTTTGACAAGTGATAGCTCTCACATGAGTTAGTAGCTGGATGTTCTGATTCTGAAGTCATTTATAACGCTCAAAGTGAGTCCAGGACAGGACAAGTTGGAGAGTGGCAAAACTCTTTATGTATTAATTTGATCTTGATCTCATAGTTCGATGAGGTGTTGCCGAAGAATCATGAGCTGTATGTGGAACCACTGTGTGAAACTCAAAATGAGAAAACCCACTATCTGACCTGAAACATCCAACACCCCAGGCCCTTTAGTATGAAAACTGGACCGTCAGTATTTTTCACAGTTGTAGAAAGGGGACGTACAACTGCTACAACTGGGAAAATTCTTGTTTGCTTCTGCCTGTCCCAGGCTTCCTTCCCTGATCCTCACAGGCTGCTCATCGGTTTTGCCTCTGGAGCCACTTCCACATCCTTTCTAATTCCAGTCGTTTTTCTAACTAGTTAGCAGAAATAACCTCTGCATATGGCACAACTTAAAGATCTAGTCTAGCAATTAAGTATACATTAGGAGACAAATTTCTAATGTGATGCAAGGGTTATAAAATCAGTTTAATTGGTATCCTGCTGTAGGAGAGTGTGTTTTTAGTTACTGGCAGTGAATGAACACTCATAGTTGCTTTGCATAAATTTCAGTTTCAGAAATGGAGTTGGTGTGTCAGCTATGATTAAAGGAAAAAAAAAAAAAAAGCAGCCAGGTATTTCCCTTGTCAGTGACAAATGCCTTCTTAGATGGCCATGGTCACCTTTAAGAAAGCATGACATTTTGTTACTATGTGGAAGTTCTGACAGTGTGTTTTTTAAAGCATCCTTTCTTAGGGTTGCAAGATTTATGGCTTTCTCTTCCAGTAAGCAAGAACAGGTAGTGTATTTGTGGTGATTTTCCATGTTTTATATATACTTACAATCCCTGCAAAATCTTGCAGAAGCTGAACAGTCTTTCTGAACCAACCTAGCAGCATATTCACTGGAGCTGGTGGGTTTTTTTTTTGTTTCTTAGGCCTCTGCCCACCTTTCTTAAAAGAGCACATTGTCTCTCTTTAAGGATCTAAATTTGTCTAAGCAATTTTTAATATCCTTCCGTACAGTTTGTCTTTTCATTTGTCTGTTCTGTATTGCTGTCATCATTGCTGCTTTTAAAGCATCACTTTTTAGCCCAAATGAAATCAGCTGCTAATTACTGAACTGGATATCTAACTTGGAAATAGAGTCTGCTGATCTTCAGAATTGCTTATGGTGGTTAGGCCCC